ATATAGGAAGTATTTTAAGCTTATTAAGCATTGGCTTCAACTAATAGTCATTGACTGCAGTGATTGTCAAAAAGATTAACGAAAAATTATTATTTACTAAATATATTTTTGATCGCAATGATCATGGAAACAAGTTGAGTTAAATACTTTGATTAATTAAATCAATTAATAAAATAATAATTTGTTAAGCGATTACGACATAATTCAATTGAATAACAAGTCTCTCAATTAACACATGAATTTTAAAAAGACTCTTACGACTAATTCAATTTTGAACCAGTAATACAAAAAATTTAAAAAAAAATGTATGCTATTAGGTGTGAAATAGACAGAAAGTGAACTAAGTGACCAAATTTGTTCCATCTTATCTTGTGAATGAATCACTTATCGACTTTTAAACCGGCAGCTTGTTGCAATAAAATTTTTCAACCAAATACAGGTGGCATGCAAGTGCATTTTCTGAATGACTGACTGACAGCTAGCGCTTGATATTCGCACTGCAGCGAACTGAGACTGTGTTAGGTGATTAAAGTGCATAACGCTACATATACGGAGCGTAGTAAAATACTAGCCGTCGTAATATGGTACGTGCGTGAGCGCAGCAAATAGTTGGCAGTTGTTTAAGGCAGCCTATAGCTATTGTGCTATAATTAGATATATGGTACCACAAAGAAATAAAAAAGAAGCAATGCAAAAACAAATACTATTATTCACAAAGTGCAGCAGAGCGCCGCAAAACAACACTTTTCTTACATTACCCAGACACTTCCAGTGCATTGTTGCTATACGCGCTCTTCTTCTTGTATTGGAATTGTAGTGTTGTATATTGCGCTTTGTACTATGCGCTACCCAGTCGCTGCCGCCGCTAACGCGCACAAATATTTGCACAACCATAGTGTCTACATATGAATGGCGCAAGAAGTAGGCAATGATCGGCGTGCGCGCTGTGGACGTCGTCTAAGCAACACAAGGGCAATTTTTTGTTGCAAATATTAGCAAAAGCGAATCAATAGATACAGCACCGCGCTAGGCAAAAGCAAGACGTTGCAATGCAGGCGCAGCGCAACAGCGCGCTTGGGACGCGTCAAAATACAGACTTGCTTGTAGACAGACAATAGGACAACTAGGCAAGCAAAGCAAAGTTGAAAAGTAAGAACAAAAAGACACAAGTATAGCAGCAGTTCTAAGTGGCGCTAAACGAAGTCTAGTTGTTGGACAAAGTGATTGAGTGCAATGCAGGCGGCTGCAGGCGGTAGTAGAATTTAAGGAAAGACGCTGAAAATGGTAAAAGGTATGCGCGCATATCAGCATATTACTATGCAGGCAACACACTTTTAAATGTGAAAAAATTAGCAGCGTGTCGCAAAGAATCAATGTGAAGTGAGAAGTGTTAATTAGCTACACTCGACGCGTTCATTTTATTAACGAAATATTAATGAGCAATTAACGAAACTTTGTTATAGCTACGATAGCGTTTACTACACACAAAATGTTGACACCCAACAGCGCTTACTACTGCGTGCGTAACGCGCGCTTGTCATTTCATACGCACGCGAGTTCACGCATACCGCTACTACTTTGAGAGCGCACACTAATTGTGACATCAATGCTAAAGTCTACGCATATCAATGATTTTTTTGCTTGCCCTTTGTGTTTGTTTTTGTATGTTTTATTGCTATATTTGGCGTAGCGTAAGATCCTGCGTATTACGCGCTGCATAACACACACACACACACACGCCGCATTAAACTTTTGCCCACGCATGTTGCACGCCTCATAAAAGCGAAAACAAATACACGCATTGGAAACGAAACGAAAATTTCACTACCAAACAGGCAAAAATAACAATAGAACATACAGCAACGCTTCGGCTTTAAACGACAGAAATGCTATGTGCGAACACGAGTGAGCAAGCTTTTATTACTACCACATGCGCCCGACATGCTTCATACTTACATTTACACGCACGAACTGTCAAACGTTCAGTTAAATTTGACAAACGCTTGTTTAGTTGTCACACTCTGGTGAGTGCTTGCGTCAGCCCGCCTCATCACAAGTTTGCACGCCAGTCCGTCCGTCCGTCTGACTGTCGGCGCATCAGTTCAAAGCCTGCTTTGTCAAGTCTACAACTTTGCACACTTGAACATTACATTACATACACATAACTGTTCATAGCGGAAATTTACAAAGAGCACGCGCGTGCAACACCAATGCGTACCCGTAAGCAACGAATTCCGCCTACTGCTACCTGCGCCACTCCAGCTTATATTGCGCCTACATCAAGCATTCCCGTTTGTTAGCTGCGCTTTCCCTGTAATCGTTTCGTTTGGCCCACGTCCTCATCACCCATAGCTCGAACGTAGTGTGCACCCTCCGGAAAATGCCCACCTACGCACACCGAGACAAGCCGATTAAAAACGAAGTCTGTTCGTTTTTACACCTTGGCGCGCGTAATTACAGCCTTCTGGCACTCTCGCACGTTTGCGTGTGTACTCGTATTCTCGCTTTTGCGAGTAAGTTGTTGTACGCTACAACAAAACCCACACGCCTACACACACGAATCGCACTAATAGTACTCATACACCTAAGTGGCTATCCGTTTTACTAGTCTAGGTGCCGTTGTCGTACTCGTAGAACGTACATTTACTCGTACTTATAAACACTGGCGAGTGTGTACTCCACAAGCGTACTCGTAATCCCGAGCTTATGTACATACACCATAAACATATACATATATTTAAATTGACTTTTTTTGAGAGCAGTTTGTATGTTTTAAAGTGGTGCCAGGCGTTCTTAAATTTTCATCACTTTTTATTATTACATTTTTTTTAAATCAATGTTCTAAGTAATAGGAAATGTTAAGCAGACTGGAACAAGAGTCGCTCTCTTACCGAAAGTAGAATTGTATACTGTGAGCCCGAAACTTTTGTTTCTTCTGTTAAAGTTTACAATATCGATACCGCGTCGACATTATTTTATGTCAGTGTAAATTTTATATTTAACTGGCCCAAAGTCTTCAAATAATACCAAAAAAATCGTCACTTTCTCGCCGACTTTACCCGAAAAGATCTCTTGCAACCGTATTACTTGCCCAAGTGGCTATGCAGCTAATGTTCTCCAGAAATGACCTTTAAAACCTATGGCTTCGTTCTATACAAAACTAAGTACAAACTTCTCTTATCTCTAATTCTAATTGCATTGCGTGGACATAAGAATTTTCCTATACTTATCTGGATCCCTCACAATAGGTCAAGGGCAGCGATTTTCTTTCAATGTTCAAATTCATAATATAACTTAACTTTTAAGCCTTGGACCTAAAATGGAAATAAACGTTGCACAAAAAAAAACTGTCTGAATCAGAAAAAATATTATATTCGCCTTATTTTCAACTTATAAAACTACAATAGTAAAATCACCAATATCAAAACTTCTATTTGGTTTTTAGTACCATTGGAAGCTCTGTTGATCCACAATTCCGTTTTATGGTTGAGTAGTTACGAGCTCTATCCGAAACTTTGAGAGCAACTAAGTCGTCACTGAAAAACTTCTGACGTTTGTCTGTGAAATATTTCCAATTATCCAACAACCAATATAAAGTTGAAAAGTCCCTGAGACCACACTTCAAGCATAAAGAAATTATCCAAAAGCTAAGCTGTACAATTTTAATCTTAATACCGGAGACATTAGTGAACTAACTACGCACGGCGGCTCTAACAAGAGCTTCAGGAAATTTTCGTTGTTTCGAGAGAATCACCACGGCCTTCGAAACTACGTAACCGGAACAGTCCCCCGATTTATATGTTGTCGAGAAATGTCAACTCGGCAACAATTTTCGTTAAAATTTGGACAGCGTTTTCTGCTGCTAGAACAATAAGTGGAGCCCCTTATACAACGATATATCAAGTTATTACGTATTTTAAAGTACTGACCTTTACACTACCTTAAGAGCCTGCCCAATGTAACTTTATGTATTTAGCTCCGCTGCTATAGATCGTAAGATCCGTGTCGATAGTTGTTGGTAGTAACGGTAATACTAAATTTGTTTTTATATATATCTTTATCAAAATGTGTTATGGCAAAAAATTAAAAATAAATATGTGAAAATACTCTACTCTTCTAAACCCGTTTCTCTATCCCCTTCTTAAAATTTTCACTCCCTACCAGAACTACAAACTGCTGAATGGGCATTGTGACCATGCACAACACTTTCGATAATCGATTACCCTCGCATTGTACATACTTCCGGCATTAATGCTACGCTTGCAAAAACAATCGCTAATCGACGGTGCGCTACTCGAAGTCGTACACATATGCTACACGTTTTGTTTCAGCAAATTTTGTTTTTGTGTTTTTTCGTTTTTCCTGTGCTTTACATTGCAACGAACTGAGCGCCGCAAGACGAAAACATAATTGCATTGACGCATTTCCAGTCTGTTTCCATTCTGTTTTGTTTTCGATGAATTAAAAGCGTAAACCCGGCGCAACACCGACCCGCACGAAGGCCAACGAACAAGCTGCAACCCGCAACATGACAAGCGACACAGCGTGATGCGAGACGTAGTAGATAGCAGGCGGATTGAAGCGTTTGTGGTGCGCTTGCGTCAAGAGAACGAGCTAGCGAGTGAGCATGGAACAGAATGAGTGAAGAGAGCGTACGCGCTATAGATAGCAGACTAACGCGTGCCGAAGGACTTTTACGTAGTTTACGTTACGTTTTTACTATGTAGGCGTATGTGCGAACGACAGTGGTGGCCATGAGCGTGAATGTCTGCTGATGCTTGTACAAATGCTGGTGAAGGTGTGCTAGCGCGGGTGGTAAACGCATTGGTGCGCGCGTGTGTGCATGTGTGAGTATGAGTACGCGATTTGTATTGTACGCGCGCGCGCGCCTATAAATCGGCAACGTTTTGCTGCCATAGACACAACGTACCAAAAATACATATTTAGACGGGATGTTTGCTGGCTTGCATGCGAGAGCAGCGTTGCATAGTTTTTCAATTAGTTTGAGAAAGGTGCTTGCCGGCGACAGGCGTTAAGGCAAAGGCGTGCGTGCGTGTTTGTTGTGTTCAAGCTTTCATATCTGTTGTATATATGTGTATATATGTGCGTTTTGAGTCTCTACTGGTTATGCTATTTATATGCGCGCATATATATACCAGACGGGCATGAAAAATAAATTTAAATTTTTGAAAACCAACAACTTTGCGAAAAAGCGGTGGATAATGCGGGCGCCGCGTCAATTGTGATTTGTGCGCAATCATGTAAAGGTTGCCAAAAATTTAGACGAATTTCGAAAAATAATATTTTTAGTGAAAATTTTGTGCTTTTGCAATATTACAACAACAAAGTGCCCGCAGTGTGCTTCGCGTGAAAATCGCCCTTACCTTTGCATGTGTATATTTATTTTATTGGCTTCCGCGTTGCAAAAAGAAACGCACTTGAGAAATGCGTTTGGCAGGATTCGTCGTTAGTCGCCTATCGTTGTCGTGCACGTCGTAGCAGTAAAATCGATATTTCCTTGCTGTATCTTACGGCGAAAGGTGCGCAGCAGCAGCGACGACGATAGCTGCAGACGCAGCGCTGGCAGCGACGCGCCAACGCTGCACCTCTCATAAAACTAACAACAATTAAATGTATAACGGTATAAACGCTAGCTACGAATTGAAGTTGAGGAAGCAGCAAACGCCGGCGCTATCAGCGCGCTGTCAGCGCTAACGCTTGTGCCTACATTGGCGCTGTGGTTTGTGCTGCAAGCGTTCACAACTGTGTTAATGCGACGACTACGACGACTAGAAATATGTCTGCCACAATGGCGATAGCGATGGCGTTGCCGAAGACGATGTCGTTCTTGACTGCGCATTCGTTGTTGGCGTATCCGTGTCTCGTTGATTCGTGCCGCTCGGCTATAAACACAATCACAACCAACACCAGCACCAACGCAACAACAACTACAACTAATACTACAGCTACTACTACTATGCTGTCATATAGTACATGCGCGCCGTTTTTATTGTTGTTTTTATTATTGTTGCTACCGTCTGCAGTCATAGCATATGCCGTAAAATATATAAACGTGACTCGTACGACATTGATGTTGGCGACGGCGGCAGCGGCAGCGACGTTCTAAATGCAGCTGCATTTGTATATAAAGTCATAAAGTCAGCAAGCAAGTTAGCGGACGGCGGAAAGTGTGTGCGCATCGATAAAAAAAAACACAAAAAAATAAACTAAATTGTCTGTGGTTCGGCAAGCGGCGTTCGGCGCTGCTAATTTAACAAATAATAAACGCCGCGCTCAGTGGAAAACCGCAACGCGTTAGCGCTTTGTACGCGCCGCAGCAGTCATCATACTCGAAAAACACTGAGTTTATATTGTGTTAAAAATAATAATGATAAAGTTTGTTAGGCAAAAGAGTCGCGAGCATTCAGTTAAAGCATCAAAAAGTTTTTTTAAGAAAAAGGTGAGCGGCCGCCGCACAGTTGTAAGCAGACATAGCCAGCGAAAAAGTGCTCCTACATGCACAGAAAACTACATACACTCACACACACACAGGCACATCGGCAGGCGCGCGCGTGTGAACGCTCCCCACACACACATACACCCGCACCAGCTAGTAAGCGCGCTAGCCAGTTTGCCGTCTATACGGTTGTTGTTGTCGCTCTTATCGCTGTCGTAGTCGTGAACGCCGTATCCGTCGCCGTTTTTAGTGTCTACTTCTTTGCTTCCTTTGCCTTTTCCACAACATTCTTTTGCCATTTCTTTTAGCGTTCTTATAGTTTTCGCTGCGCTTTTCTCTTCAACTTTTTCATTTTCTCCTCTGTTCGCTAAATGAAATTGTTTTGCGAACGCATCCCTGTCGCTAAAGTCCGGAAATTCCGTCGCGCACCAATACAATTATAATTGTTAGTTATAAAAGAAAAAACAAAAACAAAAGCAGCAACGAAAAAACACATACATATATATACTTGTCTGTATGTGTGTGTAGTTATTTTACTAGCAACGATTTATATATGTGTGTGTGTGCTTTCAATTTATGTATACTACACGATTTAAATATATATATATATATATATATATGTGTTTCGATGTATAACTGTATGTGTTTGTATTGTTTTCAGGGCGAGTCGAATGATTCCGGTACCGAATCTGATGGTGACGTCCTAGATGTTGACAAGCATCGCCCTTTAGACTTGGACATGGAAACCAGTGAGTCTTGAATACATATCTTGAAAATTATGAAACAAAAATGAAAAATAATATAAATTTTATATGTGAGCCCGTGTTGCAGTGGTAAAGAGTAAAAACCCATGCGAGAAAATTAGATTTGATTTAGAGACAGACTTTCTCTAGAACATTTGAACTCAGATTAAGCTAGGTTTGGTAATAGTAATAGTAAGAAGTCCGAAAACCACACTATATCATTCCATAAACCGATAATTAAGAGGAAAGATAAATAAAACAAAAAGTAAGTTCGGGTTCTAAATCCAAACAAAGGAAATTTACACAGAAAAAGTAGTATCTACCGAAAGATTTAAAAAGAAAGTAACTGGTATATGAATCCACCATCTTAGCTGTGAAGCATATTAAGAGGTATTTTGTCGGTAGTCGACCTTGACCTTGGCACATACTAAATAAAGTTAAATTTATCGGTTAAAGCCCACATCAATGAAGTCAACTTTTTTAAAATAGACACTATACAAACTAGATTATAAAAGCTGTCGAACAAAGTAAGATCTCAACTGCAATGTGACTAGGTACAAATGTCAGATACACCGAGATGACTTTCCTAGTTAGACAGCTTATTTCCAATGAAATTGGTATCTGCGTATACTATCACACAGAACAGCCGAACACTGATAACTCAGTTCAATATAAGTTCGCTTTACAAGCACTGCGCTCTACCGCTCTCACCTAAAATATTTACTATACCCTAACTATTAAATCAGATATTTATAACCAGAGAAAACACCACATATCTGAACGACAAATCCATGTCTTCCGTTGACTAAACCAATGAAAGCTCAAAAGCTTTTGTAAAATTCTTGCTAACCTTAAGTTTCTGTCTTCTTCTGTCTGTCAGCAGATTCAGCGACAACTGATTCGGTATCAATTGTCTCTATCATACTCCGCAATCGAAAGCAACAGGCCAAGGTCAAAATGAATTTCACTAATTTCAATGCGAAGTCATATCAATTTTAGTAACAGCTTATGAGCTTGTCACGGAAAATACTCTCGGAGTGCAAGACTGTGCTAGAGTTTGATAGGCTTCTTATGGACTATATCCACAATAGGCTGGAAATTACTCCCGAAAAACATAAAAAGTACTACAAGTTAGAAGGTAGTATAACCATGGCTTGATTCTTGATGTAAAATACTAATTCGAAAGCTTCTTTAGCAACCCGCTTAACTTCCCAAGGTAAAAAATTATCATAGAAAATCCAGTCGGAAACATAGTTCTGACAATGGTCAGTTTAAGACTCATGGATCCACCTAATCTTTTTGCAATATTTCTCATAGACAAACGTTATCTAGTACTCTGTATTCAGAGAGTTTTAAACATTGTCGATTGATAGATGGTTAGATGTGCTTTAGACTTAGTGATGTAGCCTTTGAAAAGACAGACTAGAGCACTTCGTTCTCTCAAACACATAAAGTTTACTAAGATGCTGATCTGTCTGCATTAGTTTCGGTTTTTAAAATTAATTACGAGAGAACATTTACAACTTTCTGATGAGTTGTGAATGTCTTGTGCACATCCATCCACGAACTCGCTAGCTCACTATCGTTAGCTTATTTAAGACTCGTGAAATAAAACTTACTTATTGTATAAAATACCTAATCACATTTCTCTTCTCTCTTTAGGCTTAAGCTCCTGCGCCGATGTGAATTCGCCAACAACAGACACCGCCTGCTCTTCGTCAGCGTCTTCTGCGATGATGTGTCAATCCCACCTTTTATACGATCAACACAGCTCCGAAGAGGAACTGGAAGTGATCAATGGCCCATCATCGGTAGCAGCCGCCGAAGCGGCATCCAATGTATTGGTGGTGCGTGGCACCACCTCATCACTCATATCGGAGCGTGGCTCGTCGTCGCTGGAGCCCGAAGAGCTATTCGGCGAAGCATCGACATCGAAACGTTCCAGCTCAACTTTGGTTGAGAATCGCAAACGATCTCTGGCGCATAGCTCCGATGATGACGTAAGTTGCTAATGCAATTATTGCAAATTACCGAAATGTGCACTAACTAATAACGGTGTGTTTGGTTTGTTATGTTTTTTTGCTGGTATTTGGACGTTTAGCAGCTGAGAAACTTCTTGGAACCAGTATTGACACCAGTGAATTTTCGCACATCACCACCATTGGAAGCTTTCAAGCCAAACCGCAGCCACAAATATCGCTCCACAACGCCACTGATACTATCGGAGGCGCGTTGCGGCATCGAAAATATTAAATTATGTGATAATAGTGTTAATGACGAAAATGGTGAGGCTGCTGCTGGCGGCGCGTCGTCATGTGCCGCAACAGCGGCGTCGGGTGCGTCTAGCGGCAATGCCGCACAGGCCGGCGGTGCATGCGCTGCCAGCGGCAGCGGCGACAACAGTTCAACGAGTGTGATTAAGGTGTGCGCCTCATCGCTAAAGATGAGCAATAGCAGCCATCATATCTATCAGCCGCAACCCAAATATAATTTCCACTATAATAGTTCGCGCAGTAGTCCCGCATCGACGACCGGTCTCGATGCGATGGAGGTGCGCTCGGTTAGTCCACCGGCGAAACTCTTCCATTCGGCTAGATCACCACACCGCCGACCGATACGCACACAACACGCCACACAGAGGCTACAGCGACCACATCGGCCGTGTTTAGATTTTGATAAAATGCAGCAAGTAAGTCTCTAATGCAGCGCCAAATCAAAGACTTTTTACTTCTCACTAATTACAAGTAAATGTACCTAAAAGCTCGCATTACCCATAACGAAAACATGAAAAAAAGAAAACGAAACGATGGCTAGAATGATAATTACAGAGAGAGAGAGAGAAAGAGAGGGAGGAAGAGTGTGAAGGAGGGAGCGAGAGAGAGAGAGAGATTGAAGATTTTACAATGAAAATGAATTCGATGAAAATTATGTTTATGGCGGTTTTGATGGTAAATATGTATGTATGTTTTGTACAGCAAAAAAAAAATTTAAAAAATATATACCGCTAAATAATTTTATGTTAAAGAAAGTATCCAAAAAAAAAATTGAAAGCGAAGAAATGAGCGCAAAAAGTCAGTAACAATGAAAGCTAAGTTGTGGCCCTGCGAAAGCGCGCAGTTTTTAAAAGCTTAAGAAAAGCACAATAATTGACAGCGAAAAAAAGCAACTGAAAGTAAGCCCTATTAAGCAAAAACAAAAACAATAACCAAATTACAACCACAACAATAGCCCGAACTATACAAATCCCCATAATTTACCGTAAAGAACAGACTTTTAGAAACATAAAATCAAAACCAACTACACAGCACGCAAACACTTAACTTAAATGTATGTGAAAATGTACTTTGTAAGTGCGTAAATTTGTGGTCCCTGCTTTTTTTTTTGTTTATAATTTTTGCTTTCCGTAACGTTATGTAAACGTTTTAGGTCTAAATTCTATTAAGTAACATCACTCGATTTTATTTAAAAATATGATCTCGCCACTTTTTAGTATCAAGGTTGCCAGATTGCAGAAATTTTTATGCTAGCTATTAAGATTGGGTGTAATTTTATTTGAAAAGGTGTATTCTTTGTAATTAACCAGCCTATAGATATATGTAGTATGGCCAACTCGTAATTCGATCGCAAACAAGTCTCAAAGTATTAAAACATTTCTAAGAGAGTTCCCATTTCAGTACACAGATACGTGGAAAAAACTTCTTTAAAAATGCTAAAATTTCTTCGAAACCAATTTAAAGCTTGTCAAACCAATCAGTAATGGCGTAAATAGCGATCATAAATTCTAAATATTCGACACAATTATTGAATTCAATATTTTTAACATCAAAGATTATACAAAACTCTTTAAGGAAGATTCCAAAGAACGATATTACTGTTTGATCTCGAGACAAAATTTACGCATTTTTTGTGGATTTCGCAAGCGAAGTTCAAAACATAGACCAAGTAGCATAAATTTTTGCCTGTAGAGAAATAATATGAGAATCTTTGTAAACCTGTGACTGTCTTAGTTCAACTAGGGTTGTACTAAGCTTTCTCTGAGGAATTTGTTAACATTTAGAAATATTCTGGAGGCAAATGTTTACAGCGAAATCATCAACTTAGTGATAAGGAGGAAGCTATTATGCTTATATTCGTATACTTGTATGCATATAAAATAGAACTCTTTGAAAGAACCTCTTTAATAAAAGCTCAAAAATGTCACAACGTTTAAATGAAATCCATTAATTACGATAAATCAAATAATAAAATGGCGTATGAAATAATGAGCGCAAAATAAATAACGCCTAAAACTATGCATAGAGATGAGATTTTTGAATACTATATTAGATAAGGCCTTGATAGACCCTACATTTATGTTCATGACTCAAGATTACCATGAAACACAGCGTAAAAAAGTGGATATAGAAAATAAAATCTTTAGCTGAACTAGCAATTTTGTAGGCGTTACTTTCTATATAAAGGTTTCAGAGAGACATATCAGAAAGAGAGTTGGAGGGCAGATACCAAGCTTAAATAATATGTATAGAGACGTGAAAAAATGCCACAATTGTATATTTTTCAATATTAAACACATAAATAAATTTTAAAAAACTTTAAAATATTAGATATAGATATCTAATATGGGTACTATGTAAGAGTTGTATTAGACATTCGTGATTTGAAGCGATTATATGGATACTACATAATATTGATGTTACAACTACATTTATGTTCGATTCGCTACTCTCCAATGTTTGCTGAAACGCTGACAGCTTTACTAGTAGCGAGTATAGGCATCTCATATAAACAAGCGGCAAAAAAAATACTCGCAAAATTAATAAACAGAAGCAACAGCAAGAGTTGGCCTGATATTTTCAACGCATGGAACATACGTTTGACAACTGAGATGTTACCAGCGTCGTTAAATATCTTCAGCATATTTTTTATGAGTTGGTCATACTTTTGCCACACGCTTAAAAATATTATTGTATATTAAAATGCAGAAGTTTTAGCTTTTGGCAACCTTGTTTACGATTTTTAAGATTTATTTTGAAATTTAAGGCATTTTTCATAATTTTGAATGAAGAAAGAATAAATTTTTTTCTTGGACTTGAAGAAAAGACAGCTGTTTTTATGAAATTATAGCATTTTAAAAATTTGATCTCGTTTATTATTGTAGGCTATAAAATAAGTTTTTACTGTTTTTTATTGTTGTATACCCTAAGTAAAGGCCACAAATGCATCACGTTTTTGAGAAATTATTGTAGAGTTGCATTTTGTTCAAATAATTTAGTATTTCCGCAGGCAGACAAACGAAGAAAGAACAATAAAAATGTTAAAAAGCAAAAACGACAGCACAACAACAATAAACAACTCATTACTAATAAATCTTTACAACAAAAGCAAAAGCAAAAACAAGAGACAGCGAAAACAATAAACCTAAAACTTAACAGAGGAAACCGAAAAACAACAACGCATAAATTTAAAAAGAAAGAAAACAAAAATAAAAACAAAAACAAGCAGGCAAAACAGAACATTGAATAAAAGGCAGTGCGCATGCGCACACACGCTGCATATTAAAATCAAATCAAATACAACTAAAGTATATTTAAAAAAAACAACAAAAAATAAATATAATAACTACAACAACAATACAAAAACCATTATACATACATACATAGAAACAATAAAAATTTTGAAATACATTTTTGTAATAGGTGAGATAAAGTATACATATGAAGAGAAGGAAAAAGACGAAGGGAAGCAGGCGGAGATGAATGAGGAGCACAAAGAGAAGGCGAACAAGTAGGCGCAAGCGAAAGCAAGGAGCAAGCAAGCGCGTACAATTATTGAAAAAAGAAAGAGCAACTGGCGCTGTAGGAGTGAGTAGGAGAAGGAGAAAAAGATGGCGAGAGCGAGAGAGAATGAAAGACACAATGCAAGTTGGAGAGGCTGCAGTAAAATTGTTTAAAATACAAAAAAAATATATACATGCATACATACAACAAATAGAAGAAGAAGCGTACATATTTTTTCACCATTTTAAATTACAACAAAAAAAGCAACAACAAAAACAATATATTGAGCAAACAATATTAATTACAAATTAAGCAAATTAATGTGAAAACAGTGTGAAGACAGAATTGGTAAAAGGTAATAATTAATTAAGCAGACGGTAGAATGGCAGAAAGCAAAAATTCAAACATAAATAAAGCGGAAATAGAAAGAAAGTATACAAAAAGCAAAAAAAAAAAAAAAACTAAAAGAAACAGTTAATTAAAGGGGCGAAGGAGCAAATTCAGCAATTAAGGCAGAAGGGGACTTTATATTAGAATAAAACTAAAAAAAGGCAAAAATATAAAAACAACAAAAAAAAAAACAAAAACAATTTGTAAATATTGTATTTGTGCAGTAAAACAAAATAATAATAGACATAAAGATAGCATACCGAAAAATATTAAAAAACTTGCAGCGATGAAAACAGAAAGCAAAAATAAGAAATAAGAAATAAGCAGTAAAATACTAGTAAAAAGAAAAATAAACACACATACAAACCAATAAACAACTCAAGCCGAAAAAATAACTGATTCAAATAATTAATGCTAAAAACAAATAAATAAAACAAGAAAAAAATACTTACAAAATTAAACAAAAAATAAAATTAAAATAAACAAAACAACAACAAAAACAAAAATTGCAGTTATATATACAAAAAAAAACCTAAAACAACAACAACAATTTAGCAACAAAACTCAATGTATTTTAATAAATGGCATACAAAGCATGAATGGCAATTGTCTTACAACGTCTAATAGCGTAGTAATATGTATGTAAAATGAGTCAAAAACAGAGAACAAGAGCGCAAAGCAAAAGTAAAAAAACAAAAAAAGCAAATGTAAGCAGCGAAATAAATTTAAAATATTTACAAAAAACAGAACAGCAAACAGGTGAGCAAAAAAAATATAATAAAATAATATTGATAGAAAAACAATAAGAAACCAAAAATAAAAACAACAATTCAAGAAAAGCCCACGAGGACTTTGTACAATTTTATACAGTAAACAAAGCAGTAAACGAACCTAAACAAATTGCAGCCAGAAATAGACTAGCATCTCAAGACAGCGAAAACAGCCCACATTAAAAAATAAATAAAAAACACACACACACGCACGCAATCATATACGCAAACTGATATAGACCAACTACAAATACAAAAATAATAATTTTTTTCCAACAACAAAAGTCGCGAAAAATAGCATTAAAAATTATATAAACAAAGCAAAAAAATCCTATTAGTTTAGTAAATATGCAGGCATTTAACAATAACAAAAGTAAAAACATAGCAGCAAACCAAAAAATTTTACTGAAAACGCAAACCTAATACTTAGAATACAGTGAAACAGGTAAATGCAACTCTGTTGTGCTAATTAGTGCTGGCTAAAATCAATTAAACTTAAAAAACTACATGTTTTGTTTACAAAAATTATCAATTATCGATATGTTTCGATTTCAAAACCAATAATTGTTAATCGATATACCGATATCGATATATTAGTGCATAAATATCTGTATTAGCTGATGCAAATAGTTAAAAAAACATTGAAAAACGAATTTTCTTTCATACCAATAGTTGTCATCGATACACTGATATCAAGATTTTTGTATCGATAATTTTTAATGATTAATTTCAGAATGCAAATCCATTTACACTTCATTTTGAAATTTTTAAATATTCATAATCTTACTCTTCGATATCGATCATTTAAAGTCCATATTTTTTTCTAATGAAAATTTTTTATCTTGAAAATTTAGTGAAATGTGGCTATCAATCCGCAAAAATTTAATTTTTGAATTATATTATCGATAAGTTTGCGCTTCAATATCTCTAACAATCTATATTTCTTACTAATGTCGTATTAATTAAAAAATTTGGTATATCGATAAAAAAACGATAACAGTTATATCAATATTATCTTAAGAATTCAATTCAATGTGGACCTCGGTCCACAAAATAAATTTTTTGAGTCATATGAAGCGATAAAATATCGATATTTTTGCGTTTCGATATAAATAATTTGTAATTCATATTTCTACCATAATTAATGTCGTATGAATTAAAAAATTTGGTATAGAAATGAATTGAATTGATGTATGATGAAGAATTAATGTAAATAATATATAATCGATATAATTTTCTTTATTATCTTGACAATGCAATGAAATGTGGACATCAATCCACATAACATCATTATTGATCAAGCGATAAATATCGATATTCTTATGTTCCGATATCAATCATTTGTAAACCCTCTTTCCAGACTAATGTAGTAAAAATTGGTATATCGATAAAAAAGATAATATATCAATCGATATCAATAATATGTAGTCGATATTGTCGATATTATATTTCCTCAAGAAATATTTAGTAAACCCTACTTCTTTAAAAATGTGCTAATTAGATTAACAGAGTTGTATTTACCAAAAATGTGCTACTACTAAAATTTTTAACAGAAATTATCAATATCCTACGAAAAAAAAAATTAAAATAGAAATCAGTTACTTATAAACAAAAATTAAATTCAATACACTCAATAATATGTTTACTCTTTAAGATTTGAATTGCTCGAACAATAAACCAAACTATGTATATTAAATTAAGTAACGTAACTCGGAAAATTAACAAAAACGCCAGTATAAACAAGTCTGGAAAAGAAAAATGAGTAAGAAATACTTGTATCAAACAATATAAATTCATGTTTTACAGCAGCGAATAATTGCTTGCAACTCAAAAATACTAAGCTACAAATAAATCGGTTTTGGTGAGCACTTTTTAAGTGGAAAATTACAAATTTAATAAATTAATCATATCGAAAACTTTTAATTACTTAAAAGCCAACACCAAAATTTTACTTTTATTAAATATTTGTATTTTTTATTATGATTTTATTAAATATTTATTCATACAAAATTTATTTATTTATTCATGTCTAAATAATTTAGGTGAACCCATTTTAGTTTTATTTTCCACGACCTCTTTCACGATTTATTTTCAAAGCATGACAGAAGAGCAGCATAAGATTTTGATTCTGAAAGCATCCGAAAAATCAAAGAAATTTCAAGAATAACCTACAGCTTCAGGGAAGAACAGGAGTCTTTCTTAATTTTAATATGTCACATAAGCAGTACTTGCGGTGTTTCAGACCCAAATGTTCTACCTTTTTTTTTTTTAAAAGATTATATCGTCATCAAATTACTCTTGGGAGAAAATGATGCCTGAAAAGTCCAACACATGAAAATAAACATCTTTGCAGGCGATTTCTATGGTGACTATTGGATCGTAACTAGTTTCATAATGCCTTTAAAAATATCGAACTACTGTCGCAAGTAACACTATGACTGTTGCTCCTAACCCTAGACTTTCTGAAAAGAGTATTATGTTGAGCGTTTTTTAAATTCCTCACTTTCAATATTTGCCTACCAATCCCGCGCTATTTCTTAACTTAAATGCCATGAAACTTTCGCAAACATTACAACCAACCAGTAACTGACTCGTATACGATTACTGTTTTCAAATCACTTTCTTCTCTAGTATGGCAAAAGTCGCTTATTTCTTAAAAATATATGATTATGATATCTGAAGCTTATTTCTTAAAAATAT